TTCTTTTTGTTGAAAACCTTTGACAACCAATCTTACTTTGTAGAGTTTGCTCCCATCGTGCTCTTCTTTGATCCTGTAAACCCACTTTTTATAGAGCACTTTCTTGCCTGGTGGTAATTCAACTAATTCGCAAGTCTGATTTGACATAAGCGAGTCCATATCATCTTTCATGGAAGACTCCCACTTGATTGAATCCTCCACATGCATTACTTCATCATAGCGCTCTGGTTCACCATTGTCAGTCAACAACAAGTAGTACAAAGAAGGCGAATAACGCTGGGTTGGTTTAGGAATTCTGGAGGAGTGTCTTAGTTATGATGTTTCTGGTTCTTCTTGAACTGCTTTAGGACTGATCTGAACATCATTTCCAGAAATCTCCTCGAACTCAGCAAATTCCTTTATTTCAGCTTCAGTATTGAAGCTACTTGATTCTATGGTTGACATGTCTTTGTGTCTCACATTCTCATTGAAAATGACATCTCTGCTTTTGATGATCTTCTGATTTTCGTAGTCCCAAAATCGGTAACCGAACTCATCACCACCATAACCAACAAAGGCACAATTGTTGGACTTGGCATCAAGTTTACTTCTTTCAGCAAAATTTATGTGAACATAAGAAATACAACTAAACACTCTTAAGTGTGAAAGGTTTTTTTCTTTTTTTCTTCAAACTTCCTATGGTATTCCACCATCTAAGGGAATTGAGGGCCCACGGTTAATCAGGTAAGCTGCAGTGTTGATAACTTCAGTTCATAGTATTTTAGGCAAGCCGACATGTATCCTCATACTTCTGGCACGTTCATTCAGAGTTCTGTTCATGTGCTCTGCTACTCCATTCTGCTACGGTGTCATAGGAACTGTTGTCTCTATCTTGATCCCATTGTTTGCGTAGAAATCTCTGAATCTCCTATTTTTGTATTTTCTTCTATTATCAAACCTCAACCGCTTGACTTTCAAACCAATCTCATTTTCCACCATGGCCTTCCATTTTCTGAAGGTATCAAAGACTTCTGATTTCTTCTTCAGAAAATAAACCCACACCTTCCTTGTAGAATAATCGATGAAGGTGACATAATATAGTAAGCCTGCAAGAGATGGAACTTGAGATGGTCTGTATACATCAGTATGAACTAACTCTAACTTTTTTTGCCTTGGGTGTCTTGCCAATCTTTGCAAAACTAACTTTCTTTTGTTTGTCAAAGATGCAATCCTCAAATAGTCCGCCATCTACATTCTTTAGATCCGGCAACTTCTCTTTTGACAAAAGTGTCTTCATTCCTTTCTTGCTCATATGGCCAAGCCTTTGGTGCCATAGGTTTGATTTTCTATCAGCATCTGCTACTGTAATGATATTCTCTAAATTTGAGGTTACATAGAGAGTGCCAATATTCTTACCACGAGCAATGACGAGTGCTTCTTTGGTAATCTTCCATTCACAGCCTTACAGAAATCAAATTTCTTTTGAGGCCAGGAATATGTCTCACTCCTTTCAGCTTCCAAGTGGTCTGGTTTGGCAATTTTAATTGGATGTCTCATTTTCCGACGATCTTCAAGGTTTCATCATCAACTAGATGCACCTTCCCAAAATCACCACTGACATAGTTCTTCATGTTTTCTTGGCATGGGGTGGAGTGGAAAGATGCCCCTAAATCCAAGATCCATGATTCAATCAGACTGTTGTCGCTTAGAATCATGGCATCACCTGTCTCCTCTGTCATGTTGGCAGATTCTTGTGTGTCGGTATCTTTCTTAGTGCTCGACAATCTCTTTTAAAGTGACCCTTCTTGCCACAATTATAACAGGTAAAATATTTATTTCCCGTTCTTGATTTTCCCCTTCTGGATTTCGATCTGCCACGATTTAAATTTCTTTATGAAGTTCTCCCTCTAGACTTGATTGTGCAAGGCTGAAGAGCTTGATGCTTCACCCAATTCTCTCCGTCGAATTTCTTCACTCAATACCAAATCCTGAACATCGTTGAATTTTAATTTGTTGTTTCCCAACGAGCTGCTTACTGCTGTAACAATAGCATTCCAACTGTCTGATAGAGATGATAAGTAAAGCTTGAACTTCATCATCGAATTCAATTTCCACGGAACTCAATTAGATTGTAATTGTGTTGAGTTCATGTAGGTGTTGAGCCACTGATGCCCCTTTCGCCATCCACAAATTAAATATTTGACTTATCAAGTGAACTTTGTTTGAGGCTAATGGCTTCTCATACATACTGGAGAGAGCCGCCATAAGACCCGCCATAGTCTTTTCCTTTGCTATGTTGAAAGCAACATTTCGGGATAACGTCAATCAGATAACTCTAAGGGCTTGTCTGTCGAGAAGAGCCCAGACTTAATTCTTCATGTCATCTGGTTGCTTTCCTTAGAGATGTTGATATAGATTTTTCTGGTACAGAAAATCTTCAATATGCATCTTCCAAAAGCCAAAGTATGCACCATCGAACTTCTCAATTTTCACATTCCTTTCGTCTGCAGCCATCGCTCTCACTCGAATTTGGCTTCGTTTAGATCATTTTTGACAATTCTTGCGAACCATCATGTATTAGAACACATCCGTCGATAAATTAGTATCGCCAACAAATATTTTTTACTATTTATAAAATTCAATATTCATGTGAATAGTAACCTCGTAAAAAATTGACAAAATTCATAACCAAATGCTCTGATACCAGTTGTTGGGAAATAAAACGAAAGAACGAGTAATTTCCCTATAACCAGATTAGTGAGAATGTGAAATAAAAGCTAAAAAATAATACCCGAAATTGATAACGGAGTTCAACCAATTATGCCTATGTCTCCGGACTACTGCAGATCTTTTACTAAGAGAGAAATTTTACAGGTGTTTGTGAAACACTCACTACTCATAAGAAAACTCTCTAGTATTGAGAGAAAGAAATAATTTGGGATGATTTTGAAGCTAAATGGGTTAGAGTATTTATAGTTAAAGCTTAAGGACTAATCTTATAAATACCCTAAAGTGTGCAAGAACTAAAATGTAATTATACCAATATTATTTTCAACAAAAATAAATGCACCGAATTCAGTGCCCCCTTAGCCCATCTTTTTGACTCCCCCTTAGCCTTTTTTTAGTTTTCTAACATCATATGTTTCCTAAGTAACCCTAGGAGTGGGTGTCTCAATTGTTCGGGTATTAAGGGAATGAATAATTTACTACTACTGATGATGTGTTTCGACGTTAGAGATTAAGGGTTATGCTTGTGAGGTATATTAATTGATATCAAAGTTTTATTGATATTCTGGTTGAGAGAAATGTTTATAAGGATGATCAAAGGTAATGTAAAAAGTCAAAAAGGATTACATAATCTTTTTATCCGCTGGCGTTTTCACGCAGCTCTTTGAAATAAATGGTTTGAGGAATATCTGGCTTGAGATGTTCATCGCGATTGATTATTTTCTGATGAAAGGTGTTACATGCTTACTACACTAATTTTTGATGGGAACAATTGGATTACAATGAGACAGTTCACTTCTTTTAATTTATGCATAGAGCTGTAACTAATAAGAGTAAGGTCATCAAATGGTAGACCTGATAAAGGAGATACAAGGAAAGAATTGGAAAAAGGATTATGACTCTCATTTGTTCTCGAGAGAGCCCCTTTTTTCATCCATGTTCTGTGGTTTAAATAATGCCTTTTGTATTGGTGTCATGACTGAGGCCATGATGCTTATTTGTAGGCTAGCGGGATTGATAGGCCTACTTGATGTGATCAACTATCAACTAATTCTAGCATATCATGCGTGCCATGACAAGGGATATGTAAGAAGATTGTGATTTTTCAATGAGTGTAAGGCTCAGGGCCCCCCATTCTTATATCCAAAGATATTCTTCTGTGGTGGCTTCATAGGAGTTATTGAGAGATCTTGATTTACAAAGTGAAACAAATTTGAAATGGGTATAATAATTCTGAAGTTAGAATGGACTTTTCATATCTGTAGCATTTGAAAATAAACCTAAGAATATTTTAAGGTCTCAACATGGTGTGTCGGAGATTTGAAGACTTTAAGGGCACGTTTGATTATTCTTCAAACTTAACACTGTTAATAATAGTATTAAAACAATGAATGAAATTAAAATTTAGATGTCAACTTGAAAATAAATGTCTTTTTAATATCAACTTAAAAGAACATGTTTAATTCTAGTATCAATTTAAATATTGTAAAAACTGATAAAATTACGATAATTATTTGTAGAATAAAACTAAAATGTATAGTCTAAACCAATTAGGAATATCTTTCTAGGATATAAGATGGAGGAAATTAAGGATAAACTACCTCTCAATGTATATTATGTTAAAAGACAAGAAATTAAGATAGCTCAAATAAGTTTGAGTATAGGAACATTTTTGGAGCAACACATTCATATTTTCACTGTGTTTGTAGTACTGATTGGAAGCCTAGGAAAAGCGATTCGAGTGCCACAGAGTTCCATCTAGATGACTGCACCAATAAATTAAGGATAAATTTGTTATTGTGAAATGATCTGAAATGAGCTGGTTGCTTAGATGGCTTCTCATAGTTTGTTAGAGTTAGTTAAGGTTGTTGTTAACAGTTGAAACTGCTAGAGCTTCTACTAGAGTTTCTAGAATTGCTTCTATCAACTATATAAATATAGCTTTTTGTGATTGAGAGGATAACAGTCATATAATGAAGTGAATTCAGTAATCTTGCTTCTTGTTTCCTTTATCTCTTCTTGTGTCTATCGAGTATTATAGTAAACTATAACATTATATATTTGCTTGTGTATATCGATGATATCATTGTTACTGAAAGCTGTGAACAAGAAGTACAAGGTATGATTAATAAACTCAATGGTCAGTTTGCTTTAAAAGATCTGGGGGGTTTGAATTTTTTCTTGGAATTGAGGTATGTCGAACATGTGGTGAAATCATTCTAAGTCAGTAGAAGTACATACGTGATCTCCTGTGCAAGAGTGGCCTCGAAGATGCTAAAGGACTCCCCACACCTATGGCTACGGGTTACAAATTGACTGCTGATACCGGGTCACCGGTTAAGGATGCTACACAGTATCGGAGTATAGTCGGTGCGTTGCAGTACGTTGTTATCACTCGTCCCGATGTTGTATTCGTAGTGAATAGGGTATGCCAATTCATGCAGTCTCCGTGTGATGTTCATCTTCAGGCGGTAAAGCGCATATTAAGATACTTACAGGCCACTATCGACTTTGGTCTTCGATTTTCAGCATCACCTCGCTTGTCCTTGACAGGGTTTGCTTATGCAAATTGTGGATCAGATGCAGATGACAGACGTTCGACCTCTGGTTACTGCATTTACTTTGCGGGGAATTTAGTTTCCTGGGGCTCTCGTAAACAGTAGGTGGTAGCTCGCTCTACTGCAGAAGCTGAGTATTGCAGTGTGGCGTGTGCTGCTACTGAGATAGCATGGCTTGAGTCCCTTCTAAGAGAACTATGTATGACTGTTCATGGCAAATATGTCTTGTGGTGTGATAATTCTAGTGCTGTTGCAATATGTATGAATCCAATTCTTCGTTCCAAATTTAAACATGTTGAGCTTGATATGTTTTTTGTTCGAGAGATGGTGGCTGCTGGAAAACTCTATGTTCAGGAGGTTCATGCTTTTGAACAAGTGGTTGATGTTCTAACTAAGCCATTGTATGCTCCTATGTTTTTTAAACATCGACAGCGGTTACTTGTGTCTCAAATTCCAGAAAAGTCTCTGATTTCAAGAGTTGAGGAGTAAACAAGTAGAATCTGCAGTACCGGGAGTACTGATGCATGGTGTTGTGTATACCTCGGTCTTGCGTAAAGATGGTTTCTTAAACAAGGAGGTGTTTGCAGTAGGGGGAATGTTAGTGTGAAATGATTTGGTCTCGTGGAGTCGGTTTCTTAAACAAGGAGGTGTTTGCAGTAGGGGGAATGTTAGTGTGCAATGATCTGAAATGAGCCGGTTGCTTAGTTGGCTTCTCATAGTTAGTTTGTTAGAGTTAGTTAAGGTTGTTGTTAACAGTTGAAACTGCTATAGCTTCTACTAGAGTTTCTAGAATTGCTTCTATCAATTGTATAAATATAGATCTTTGTGATTGAGAGGATAACAATCATATAATGAAGTGAATTCAGTAATCTTGCTTCTTGTTTCTGCCTTGTTTCCTTTATCTCTTCTTGTGTCTGTCGAGTATTATTGTAAACTATAACAAAATTTATCAAATTTTAAGAAGTTTGAAGAGGTTCGTGTTCGATCTTGAGCCACAAATACATATGCATTCTACTATATTCTTGGAGATTCACTACAATCGCTCATGTTCTTTAAAAAATATCGTCTAATTCTAGGCGTTGTTCTGTCTATTCATGGACAGGTAGTTAAAATCTTTGCAATGTCTTTAGTGGACTTAACTACACAATGCTTTATACGCCATGGCCCATGAGTGTTGGCCGGTGGGTGTGATTATGTAGCTTTGTTCGGCCATAAAATCACATCAACTTCTTACACTTGTTCTCCTTGCCTCCAATTAATAGCCATGAAAATTGACCTAACAGTCCATGACATGAGATGGAAGAGTCAGTGTGGTTGTCTCTTTGATTGGACCATGGTAGACACTGGGATTTGTTGGTTTAAGAAATTAAGGTCCATGCTATGAACTGTTTGGTCTGTACTTGTCAGGCAATGTTGGATGGATTAAAAGCAATTGGTAGAGGACCATCATCAATGCATTCCTATAAGAACACACATCTTCCATATGTATCTATTCAAACTTAGAAATTTAAGAAAAAAAATATTTTCTTTAATCGTTGATGTCATTCAATCTATTCACATTTTATTTGTTTAACCCGAATAAACTCATAAACATTAAGCGTTAAAATTAATTTTTATGCATTTAATATTTGACTCCATAAACATTTGTGATTGAATTTATAATTCTAATTAAAACCTGTTTGGAAAAGGTGCACTTACCCTTTACCCTATGATTATTCTATCACCCATTATTACTTTTACATGGTAATTATTTCATACATTGATTGATAGTAGAAAAATATCAAAGCATGTTTACTTATCTGTCATTTCAATATTTAAATGATCATAAACTCAAAACATTAAATTCTTAAATCTTAAATTTAAATTTCAACTCTTAAAATATGTAATTTTAAACACTAAATCTTAAATAGGACACCTACGACATAAAATTCTGCTTATAGAATAATATTTTTATCGTCGGTATATGAGATAATAATCCCTTTAAAAATTATATATTTCATCTTGTATTGTAACATCAAAAATATATTTCATCTTGTATTTATTGCTAAAACAAAAGGCATATCAAAGCTTTCTTATAGCTTTACATTATTTTCCTCTAGTGTATCTGGCCTTCTTACTCAAGTATACTTAAAAAATTATTATTAAAATAATATCTATTTACGAGTAATTTTTCAAATGACACCCTTTTAGTGAAAATGTTTTCTACATAAAGCGTTTATTGCGTATATGACAAAATATGGCACACTTTTAAGAACCTAATTCATAGAAAACGCCTTTACCACATTTGCAATAATCGATTTTCGTAGAAAAAATATCATTTCAAAAAGTAATCGTAAATAAATATTATTTTTTTTATAAAAATATATTCGAGTAAAAGGGTCCGAGTATCTTACATGTTTGGTGTTATCAACCTCCCCCTTAAATTTACTTTATGTGGGAGAGGAGCTGTTATGGGAGTAGTTGGCTTCGTTTGAGGAAAAGAAATGAAGAAGAAACAAATGCTACTAAGTACGTCCCCATTATGAATAAATCCTCTCTCACGCCTTTTCCAATAAATTTACTGAATCCAACCACAACTCCACAAATGCATGTAAAGTACCATCTACACTCGATAAAAGCTGCTGCCTACTGCCCGAATCCTGCAATGTTAAAAATGTGCAGTGACGACCATTTTGCATTTAAAAAAACATGTTTGGTAATCATTGAAAACCCATAAAACGTCTATTAAACTCAAAATCTACAGGAGACAACTTTTAACCGTATATGTTCTAAAGATTATTGACGATGTTTTCTTCTTATTAGTTTTGTTATTTTAGTTGATTGTAAAATCTGTAACACTAATAGAAAGCTATAATACCAGGAAATGTGAGGCCCTATGAAAGTAGTTGAAGAATTAAGGATGAATTTAGGGTTGTAAACTAATTGAGTTTGGCTCGAGTATTGCTGAGTTCGATTTGACTCGAAAGGTTTAAAGTTGAGCTTGAATCGAAAGCCCACGAGTTTAAAATTGACAAACTCAAACTCGACTCGAACTCGAAATATTTTCAGGCTTAACTCGATTGAAGCTCAAACTCGAATTTAAACATAATCCTTAAGAACATGCAACGCGAAAATGGTTGTAGAAAATTCTGTTTTTTGCTGCACAGTTGCACCTAATTGCATTGTCGGTGCGGCCAATTTATTTCAAATGCCAGTTTCTGAGCAATCGACCAGGACACTGGTAATTTGGTCCTGTTTTCTTTTATAGATGGATTTGGTTTTCTTCTTATGTACGGAAATGAATGTAAAAAAGACAGGTTTTGTAGCCAAGAAGTGTGTGTGTATATTTATACTTGTGAAAGAAGAACATTTATTCTTATGTCTAAATTAAGGAAAAGAATTTTATCAATGAACATTTTTTTCTTTGATACATTAATACTTGTTTTGTCTCTTTTTTCTTTTATTGGAATACTTTTATCCGAAAGAAATCTAACAAATTGCCCAACTCCTCTTCAAGGCAAAGGTGTACCTATTTTTAAGGCATAATGACAGAACTAGGCTCAAATGTTTATAGAAATTGTCACTTTGTTCCTCATTCTTTTTTTTAGAGCATTTTAATTCCTAACGTTTTGGTTTTTGATCAAAAATGTCCATATTGAATGGAAATCGTTAGTTAACAAATAATCAACATATATTATTAAAGTAATATTTATGCATATATTAAATTAATGATGTGATATATGTCACGTCACTCAAAATAATGATATAGTATTACCATGTCACTTATAATAATGATATGACGGTGTTTATCATCTTGCAATGAATATATATATATATATATATATATATATATATTTGCACTGACGTGTGAACTATTTACCTCCTTTACGAGCACTGATTTGAGGATTCGACGCTGAAACATGCAAATATATAGGTTTAATATAAATGACACTTTTGAAACCAAAAGTTAAGGTTATTTACAAACATTTATTCTTCAACAAAAAGTGGTCGGTTTCAAGAATAACTTTCTTATAATTATCAAATTATTGTTTCATATAAAACATTCTTACCAATTTAATAAAGAGTTAAGAAATAAATTTCTATTATAATTTTATCTTCCATATGATTCTACCCGGTTCGATAAATATTTAAATCATTAAATATTTTTTACAGCAATAACGAATAAAGTTGTCATGAGTTATTATCCTTACATGACCTCGACTAATTAAAACCACACTTAGTTATTATTTTATTGAATTATTTTTAATTTAGGTTATCGAATTAAATTTAGATATATAGTTTTTGTTCAGAGATAATTTTATCACGATGTTTTATTTTGATTTATAATTGTTGGTGGTCTTTTAGTGTTTGATCTCCTGTTATGATTAATTTACTGATACAATCAAATATGTTTGCATATATATTTTGTTCGAGCTTTTTAGATGATTTTAAATATTTTTATTGTATTTATATAATTCTTGTATGATCTCACGTAACTAGTTTTTATGTTAATAATTATAAAAAAAATATTCTAATTATGCATTTACTTTATTTTTATAATTATAAGACTTCATTATAAATTTAAATACTTTTTTCTTTTTTAATAAAATTAACAGCTTCTACTTACTTAAAAAAAACTAGCTCACGAGTTTTAGTGGGAAAGCAGGCGATTAATCAGCCGGTTCATGACAGCAATGGAATCCAAAATCTGGAACAGTGAAAGGGTCCAAACAGGAAGAAATGGGAACACTAAACATTCATAAGATACAAACAAAAGAAAACCACATAATTTAATCATATTAAAGTTGGTTTATGGATTTATCAGCATGATTCTTTCTTACCCTTTAACTAATTTATTTTAAAGAGTTTCCCGATGCCATGATGGGCAGTGATGCTGCTAGGTCGGATGTCTTTATCCTCCACAATGGCGATGCAAAACAAACATGTAAGAATTCTTCGAAAGATTCTCTATGGGGTTTTAAACAATTAAAAACATCGTCAACTCCCTCATGCAAACCAAGACAACAAATATTTGTGTTTTCTAGCAACCTAGGGTTGTTGTTTTCTTTATTATTAAGATAAACATCAATAAAATATCAGAATTTAAACCTGGAATAAGGATTAAATCTATTTAATAATTACAACGTGTTCCTCCATCTCTCTCTCTCTCTTTTTTAGATAAATCAAAATTTTTATTATCCAAATAACAAAGAATTGTTACAAAACAATCAACCAATTTTTAACAAAATGGTCTAAGAACAACCTACTTGTAAAAAGAACACAGATTGATTAGACTATACCCCAAACATTACAAAGGTTTTCATTGATACTATCTATTCTATTAATATTTCTACCCTTTAGTTGGATTCCCACTGCTTCTTTAATGGCCTTCAGAACGTCTTCGGTAGTTCTATGTCGACCTTCGAAGATTATGCGGTTCCTTTTTTCCCACAAAAAAAATATATATAAGCAGTCCATGAAATTTTCAAAAATTATAATGAATAGTGATT